ACTCGGGCACTGTTTACCTTGTCCTATTGTCTATGGAGGAGCAGAGTTGTCATGTTAGGACAAGAAGTATGTTAGAACCAGGGGTGGACTGACCATTTGGAAACTCAGGCACTGCCCGAGGGCCCGGGGTCAGTGGGGGGCCCCATGAAATGCCCCTGGTACCTTTTTTTTTTTTTTTTTATAGGCTTTTTTGAATGTGGGCAAGGACACAGGGGCCCCATGATCCCCTATTGCCCGGGGGCCCCATGAGTTGTCAGTCCGCCCCTGCAGGGGGTTTATATATGACTGTGCTGTCCAAAAGGCACGCGAGTTACCCACTGCACTCAGTACAAGACCTGGTCTGATATGCCCCATGAATTCGGGTGTCTTCCACTGTGGTTTGGCTGCAGCGCAGTGTATCTGCATTTTTCGTGTGAAACAGCTGTGTTTTGCCATAGCCTTCTATTAGATCAGGTGGTTTTATTGAGTTTCTGAAAGTGCACCAAATCCACGTGATCTAATGGAAGTCTGTGGCAGAGCGCGGCTAGCCCGCATGGAAGCCATGGGTACACTGTTCTGCAACTGTGGGCTGGTGGTGGTGAGTGTTCCTCGTGACTGTAAGCCCATCAGGATCTTGGCCTACTGCGCCTGTGCACTATGGGTTCCTTTGCCCGAGGGCGCCCTCACCAATGACTGAACTCTGGTCATATGAACAGCCTAACATTAGACCAGGCTCAACAAAGTTAATAAGCTGAAAGTCTTGCAGAGTAACATAATATAGTGCAAAGTCCAGAACATCTTAAAGCAGAGTTCCAGCCAGGGGCGGACTGACCATTGGGGTCAGTAGGGGAGCCCCATGAGATGTCCCTGGTACCTTTCATAGGCTTTTTTGGGTGTGATTTGAGTATGGGTGAGGACACAGGGGCCCCATGATCCCCTATTGCCCAGGGGCCCCATGAGTTGTCAGTCCTCCCCTGGTTCCAGCTGAATAAAGAAAATAAACTGTAGCTGCTGACTTTTAAAATACAGACACTTACCTGTCCCTCGGTCCAGTGGTGTCCTCACCATGGCTGGTTTCACCGGCTGTCTTCCCTCCCTGGGACCGGCATCTTCAGTGTGGGCACCGGGCTGTGACAGCTTGTGGCTTCACAGCCGGGTGCTCACTGTACATGAGCGAATAGCGCTGTGCTTTGTGAATGACCCCGTAGTCTTCTGGGACCTGTCATGTGTCCCAGAAGACTACGGGAAGGGAGGACAACGTCCGCTTCCGATCGCCTTAGGCAATTGCACCAGAAGTGGGAGAGGGTATCTTTCAAATTTGGGTATCCCTGCTCCCCAATGGTGCCAATCCTGAATGAGGAGCGGGGGACAAGCCTTAAAGCCGAACTTCCCCTTTTGAGTGGAGCACTGCTTTAACCTTGAACAACTTTCTGTATAGCTGCTGCCCAGGCATACCTTTTGAGATTAAAAAGTCCATTAGCTGGTGGAAGTCCATACTTGGCAGTGCTCTCGTGGGACTACAATTTGCAGCTGTTTCCCATGCAGGCTCCTCTCTCCCTCCAGGCAGGTGATTGCTGGCTGTAAAGGGGTACATCTTTATCTGATGCCTCTTGCTTCTTCCCATATGACAAGAATCGTATGGGCAGAGTCTTTTCCCTTTTTATATGGGACAGGGAGGAGGGCAGAGCCCTGCAAAAATCCCGCTAGCCAGAAGAGATAGCATTAGCCCTTCCCTATCCTGGGCAGACTAGCTGGCTCAATAATATGATACATTTTCCTGATAGGCAGCTGATTTCAGCTTACCAGCACACCAGTGCTGCAAGGAAACCTCAGCGGAGCTAGTCTGTACATGAGATGGCATGGCTATTAGTCAGCTCTGCCAGCATAGAGCACTGAAGCGAAAGGACAGAAAGCAGCATTGGCACTGGTATTTTAAGGACTTTCCATGCAAAAATCATACCAGAAATCATAACATGGGAGATACATGACTACAAAGAGATAAAAGGGTATCAACTGAGCTTTACCATGCAACTGTTCCTTTGGTGCGGTCCCAGCCCCCCCAAGCTTATATTACTCACATTGCCCATTCCAGCCAGATATCGGCTGTGTGTCCTTATCTGTGCCACACAGCTGATTGTCAGAATCTTCCTAATGGGCCCAGCGTATGCACTCTGCAGTTTTATTTGATCCTACGGAGTCCTCAGACTAATATTACTATACATTCTTATGATGTACTAACAGTAATGTAGTTTAACCACTTAGCGTAGCGCCCGCCTGCAATGTAATGCAGACAGACGACCACTGCAGGCAAAGCAACATACCCATATGTTGTTGCCTACTTCCGGGCGTCAGGCGTGCACGCCCCCCCCCCCCCCCCCCCCCGGCTGGCACCCACTGTGATTGTACACAGCAGGAGCCTGTCAGCAAGTCCCGGTCAGCACCTACTGGTCAACTGTGTACGATCACAGCACAGAGCTCCAGATAAAGGGAGCGATCTGTCACAGCAGGGATGAGAAACTGAGCGATCTCTAAGTAAAAGCAGCACACTGTACACATATTTTACACATTTTTAACCCTTTGATCACCCAAGATGTTAACCCCTTCCCAGCCAGTGTCAATATTATTATTATTGTTTCAGGTACTTATATAGCGTCGTCAATTTATGCAGCGCTTTTCATATTATTATTATTATTATTATACAGTATTTATAAAGCGCCAATAGTTCGCTCAGCGCTGTACATTACAAAGGGGGACAGAACATGTGACAGAACAATACCAATACAATGCAAAACATGAGGGGATTGAAGGCCCTGCTCTTTCGAGCTTACAATCTAGGAGGGAGGGGATAGTGGTACAGGAGGAGATAGCTGTGGGGGATGGAGTGGTAGGAAGAGTGGAGGAGGTTGGCAAGTTAGCAGGGAGTGGGGTAGGCTTCCCTGAAGAGATGGGTTTTCAGGGTGCACCTATTGTACATTCGCATCAGTCCCTAACCCTCAAGGGGCGTACAATCTAAGGTCCCTAATTTACATACATACATACACATACTAGGGCCAATTTAGACAGGAGCCAATTAACCTACCAGCATGTCTTTGGCGTGTGGAAGGAAACTGGAGTACCCAGAGGAAACCCACGTGGGCACAGAGAGAACATGCAAACTCCAGGCAGGTGGTGCAGTGGTTGGGATCAATAGTATAGTAACAGTGTATAGTATTACCACTGATCACTGTATTAATGTCACTAGTGAAGTTAGTGGCAATTAGTCAGTTCCCCCAGCATCAGTTAGTGTCAGAATACCTGCTGCACTATTGCAGTCCCATTATAAGTCATTGATCGCCCCCATTAGTAATAAAAATTATTTAAAAAAATAAATATAAATAAATAAATAAATAAAAAAAATTCCAGAGTATATATCATAGATTGTAGCACATAACTTTCACGCTAACGAATCAATATACACTTATTGTTACTTTTTCTTATTAAAGACATGTAGCAGAATACATTTTGGCCGAAATTTATGAAGAAATTAGATTTTTTTTCTTTTATTTGATGTTTTATAGCAGAAAGTAAAAAATATTGTTTTTTTTTTTCAAAATGTATGTGGTCTTTTTCATTTATATCACAAAAAAAACCCAGTGGTGATCAAATACCATCAAAAGAAAGCTCTATTTGTGTGAAATCCATTATATAAATTTTGTTTGGGTACACCGTTGCATGACCGCGCAGTCACTAGTTAAAATAGCGCAGTGCCAAAAAGCAAAAAATTGTCTGGTCATGAAGCGGGTAAAAACTTCCAGAGCTGAAGTGGTTAAAGGGCCTATCTGAATACAGCTGAATGAATTGTTTATGCTTTCACATTACTTAGTTTTGTGTTCTGGTAAATCAATGTTTGTGAATTCATTTGTATTGTGTATGGCAAGTTTTACAACTTTTTTCTAACCAGAGATCCACTTTAAATACCAAGCCTGGAAGGAACTATCAGCTTTCAATATACTTTGCATTTCTTGTTTTTTAGCCATTTTGTTTCAGTTTTGCAACTACATGCATTTAAAACAGTGATGGAAAAAAAAGCCTCCCTTAGGTGATTACTTATTCCATCACCAGGCATGACAGCTAACCTGGGAACACTATTTTAAAGTTGCCTCTTGTCTGATGCTCCCAGTTGGACTTCCACCTGAAAGAGGCATCACACTGACAAATAGCATCAGTCGTCCCTCCATACCTTTTTTCTTCTTTTTCAGATCGTAAGTGTTCTTGAATTGCTGCCTCTATTTGCATACCCCGCTGGGACGACATTAAAGCATTGCTTCGCCCGTTTAAGTGTATTAAACATACTTATTTCGGTGATCAGCACAAACAAGACAAGCCGCACATGTCAATTCAAAGAATGGCTTTCTGTGCCGAGTCATGGGTTTGGACAAAATTTCTTCATAAACGCACAACAAGGAATGCTTTATTTACAAATAGAATTAACAATGTACTTTATTATATTAATTTTTGGATTTTCTTTATGGTGAAAATGTTTGGTAAACAGCGCAGAGATGAAAATAAAAACAAAAAAACACTAAAGCAACCCCGTCAGGTTTGGGGGCCGGTTCACATCTGAACTGCACAGGAACATGATCTGCATTCCTGCATAATTCGATGGTTAGGAGTAGGTTAAAATTGTACTGGATTGCACCAAAAGTAGTGTATGCACTAATTTTCAAAAACGCACTGCACTGGATTGCATGGTATTGTGGTACTATGTTATCTGGTAGAGGCAAACACACTGTGTTTACAATCTGCATTTAGGGTGTCATTGGGATTATATTGACACCCGCAGCAGATCGCACACCCCACTGCCCAGCCCATGTGAGAAAGGCCCAACAGTAACATACAAATTTATATACACACACACATATAAATATACGTATGTACACACATACATACATATGTACATAAACATACACATACATAAACACACACATGTACACATAAACTCAAATTCACGTACACTATATTGCTAAAAGTATTGGAACACCCCTCCAAATCATTGGATTCAGGTGTTCCAATCACCTCCATGGTCACAGGTGTATAAAATCAAGCACCAAGGCATGCAGACTGCTTCTACATACATCTGTGAAAGAATGGATCGCTCTCAGGAGCTCAGTGAAATCAAGCGTGGTCCCGTGATAGGTTGCCACCTATGCAAGAAGTCCATCCATGAAATTTTCTTGCTGCTAAATATTCCACGATCAACTGTTAGTGGTATTATAACAAAGTGGAAGCAACTGGGAACAACAGCAACTCAGCCATGAAATGGTAGGCCACGTAAAATGACAGAGTGGGGTCAGCACATGCTATGCCACCTATGCAAGTCCATCCATGAAATTTCCTTGCTACAAAATATTCCACGGTCAACTGTTAGTGGTATTATAACAAAGTGGAAGCAACTGGGAACAACAGTGACTCAGCCACCAAGTGGTAGGAATGGCGTCAGCGCATGCTATGCTACCTATGCAAGTCCATACGTGAAAATACCTTGCAACTTAATATCCCACAGTCAGCTGTTAGTAGTATTATAGTGGAAGCAACTGGGAACAACAGCAACTCTGCCACGAAGTGGTAAGCCATGTAAAATGACAGAGCGAGATCAGCACATGCTGAAGCACACAGTGCGCAGAAGTTGCCAACTGTTTGCAGAGTCAATAGCTAAAGGCCACCAAATATCGTGTGGCCTTCAGATTAGCACAACAACAGTGTGTAGAGAACTTCATGGGTTTCCATGGCCGAGCAGCTGCATCCAAGCCTTACAACACCAAATACAATGCAAAGTGTCGGATGCAGTGGTGTAAAGCATGCTGCCACTGGACTCAAGAGCAGTGGAAACATGTTCTCTGGAGTGACAAATCATGCTTCTTTGTCTGACAATCCAATGGACGTATCTGGGTTTGGCAATTGCCAGGAGAATGGTACTTGCCTGACTGCATTGTGCCAAGTGTAAAGTTTGGTGCAGGGGGGATTGTGGTGTGGGGTTGTTTTTCACGGGTTGGGCTTAGCCCTTAGTTCTAGTGAAGGGAACACTTAAGTCGTCAGCATACCCAGACATTTTGGACAATTTCACGCTTCCAATATTGTGGGAACAGTTTGGGGATGGCCCCTTCCTATTCCAACATGACTGCGCACCAGTGCCCAAAGCAAGGTCCATAAAGACATGGATGAGCAAGTTTGGGATGGAGGAACTTGACTGGCCTGCACAGAGTCCTGACCTCAACCCGACAGAACACCTTTGGGATGAATTAGAGCGGAGACTGTGAGCCAGGTCTTCTCATCCAACATCAGTTCCTGACCTCACAAATGGGCTTCTGGAAGAATGGTCAAACCTTCCCATAGACACACTCCTAAACCTTGTGGACAGCCTTCCCAGAAGAGTTGAAACTATTATAGCAGCAAAGGGCAGAGCCAACTCAATATTGAACCCTACGGACTAAGACTGGGATGCCATTTAAGTTCATGTGCATGTAAAGGCAGGTGTCCCAATACTTTTGTCATAGGTTGCCACCTATGCAAGAATTCCATTCATGAAATTTCCTTGCTACAAAATACTCCACGGTCAACTGTTAGTGGTATTATAACAAAGTGGAAGCAACTGGGAACAACAGCAACTCAGCCATGAAGTGGTAAGTCATGGCATAACTGGTTGGTCACATTCCAACGGCACTTGTTCTGCAGTGTTAGATAACTCATACCTTCTCAAAGCCGCTTCAGTTCCAATGATGCCCCAGAAATTATATCCACATAGACACATTAATCATTCCCTCTGTATTGAACTTTATTGTTGCTGTATTGTCTCCCTTTATATTGTAAAGCGCTGAGCAAACTGTTGGCGCTATATAAATCCTGTATAATAATAATAATAATAATAATAATATATAGTGTACATATATACATAAACTGACTCACATACAGGGGTTGGACAAAATTATGGAAACACCAGGTAAAAGAACGAAAAAGTTACCTAACATGGTGTTGGACTGCCTTTGGCATCCAAGACAGCCTGAATTCTCCTGGGAATTGACAAATACAGTATAAGCCTTGGATGATGGATAATGGAATCGGATATCACCCTTTATGTAAAAATCATTCCAGTTCACACAGAGTTGCTGGAGGCAGAAAACGAGCCCGAATCTGTTCTCCAAAATTGACTATAATGGCTTTATAATATTGAGATGCGGCAACTGTATCACCGAGGGAAGGAACACCAGCTGTGTGATTTGAAGCATTGTCGTCTTAGTAAATGATGCTGTCTTTGGGAAATAATGTCTGCACCATGGTGTGTGTATGGTTGGCCAAAATGTGTACATAGTTGCTGGCAGTGACTCTACCTTTCAAGGTGATGATGGGGAATGCAGAATACCAAGATTTGGCTGTCCAAACCATGATTGCGCTGCCACCATGCTTTACTGTTGACACAAGACAGTCCTGGTTGTAAGCTTGGGATGGTGTTTGCCACATATAAACACGTCCAGGGGTTGGGAACAGCGTGAAGCCAATTAATTGGACCATATTATAGTCTTACATTGATCGATAGTCCACAATTAATGGGTGTTGTACCACTCTCTCCTGTTCTGAGCATTAATGTTGGTTTACTAGTGGTTTGACAATTGCAGCTCACCCATTAAACTTTTGTGGAGTTCCCTCTGCACGGTTTTTGTGGACACGGGCTTTGGAAGACTGAGACTGAGCTTTACAGTCACTTTTGCAGTGGTTGTTTTGTTATACCGGGTCACAGTCCTGTGCACTGTCCTTTTGTCTCTTTTTGTCAATTGACCATTTTGACTGCGCTAATGCTATGCCGTCATAACTTTTGATATTGGACTTCGCAACACGGCAAATAAATTGGCAACTTCAGTCACAGAGGCTCCAGCTAAGTGGGCACCAACAAGTTGCCCTCTTTGAAGCTCAGTAAGCTCTGACATGACTCCGTATTACTAGCAGCGCATGTAGTGAATGATGAAATTGAGGCTTCCCACTTGTTAGCTAGGTGTCTCATCACAAAGCGGAAGCAAAAGAATGTTACATCACTTTTGCTTTCAACATAAAACATGCCATCACTTTCACACCCGCAAATCATGTAGTGTTTCTATATTTTTTGTCCAACCCCCTGTACATACACACTCACTACATACATACATAGTGTGACAGAACGAGACTGTAATGGTGAAATTGGTAATCAAAAGGACACAGGGTTTGCACTTTTGCTGAGTGTAAGACTAGGGAGCATAGGTTTTAAATGGAGAAAACTGATTTTGCAGATTTCTCCAGGTTTTGGTATTCTTGGAAGAGGCTCTGTAGTTTGGAGATTCCATAGTGTCTTGGGCAGGACAGAATCTCCAACCCAGTGTCTGGGTTTTGTGGAGGAACAGCAGGGTGTGTGCCCAGCTACACACAGCCTTTATAATGGAGGTTTAGGAATATCTCGGGGCTCCACTCAAGAGAGAGAGAAGGTCTCCTACAGGAGTCAGAGAGGCTGCATGTGGCAGCAGGAGTAGGAATGTCTGCAAGAGACAGTTAATGGTCTGAGGACTTTGCCAGAGGAGCTGTGTGTGTCTGAGAAGCTCTAAGCTGATTTGCCTGGAAGAGTTGGTGGCAGGGGCGGACTGACCATTTGGAAACACGGGCACTGCCCGAGGGCCCGGGGTCAGTAGGGCGCCCCATGAGATGCCCCTGGTATCTTTTTCATAGGCTTTTTTTGAGTTTGGGCAAGAACACAGGGGCCCCATGATCCCCTATTGCCCGGGGGCCCCATGATTTGTCAGTCCACCCCTGGTTGGTGGTCAGACGGACCAGTACCTATAGCAGCAGTGCTGCTGATGAGTAGCCAGGGGGGCTAGCATTTTCATTTGCATTGTGTATATTTTGCTGGAGAAGAACCCCTGCGTGGGATATATTGTGTTTTGGATTTTCCTTTTTTTTCCCCTTTTAATAAAAGTGGGCTACCAAGCCCTGAAAAATAGTTCCTGACTGGTATGAACTCACTTGCAAATGCATCTAGCACTGAGCTAAACATCCCCAAATATTACAATAGCCTTTTGAATAACCACACCTTACTGTACCTGGCTGACCAACATTTGGCACCTGTACCGCCGAGTAAGATGCCTGTGTACACAGTACTATATGGAAGTGAGACACGGCAGGTCGGGACTTAGGAAGCAGCTTTCCCCATGCACAGCTCTGCCCATTATTGCCTGCTCCAGCTCTGCAGTTCAATGTTTAAAGACAGCTGTCAAGGCCGGCTAGAATACTACAAAAAAATATCGTCTGCCTTCCCCTGCCTGGTTTTCAAGACTAGAAGATGACAAGAAACTCTCCCCTGGGACTTGCAGCAACAAGAAAAAATGTATATATACAAAATATCAGTAAAAAACTGTTTTTATTATGATTCCATATAAAAATATTTTCTTGATTAAAAACAAAAGACTCTTTGTCTAAAAGACTAAGATATTATGTACAGCTTCTTCATTATGCCATTATAATGTGTCATCTGTTTAGTATGATTTACATAGCATTTGTACATTAAAAAACAACAACATTGGAAATTACAGTGCAACATGACTTTCCCCACCCAAGTATAAAACAAAAAATCGAAACTTCATAAATAGACTTAACAATCAAACAAACACAATGAAAAAAGTATATCAAAGAGTTTACAATTATCACTGAAGTATAGAGACCATCAGCGCTATTTAGTAAGTCAAAGATTTGCCTTGAGGGACCTCCACCCCCACCTGGGTGACCAAGACCCACAGGGAGCTGGAGAAAGGAACAGGTTCAACCAGCAGCACACATCCACAGCCCCCCCTCTAAAAGTCAAAATATAAAAAACAGGAATCTCATACAATATTGGATTTTGTAAAGATATCAATAAAAAGTCCATCAGGACATTAGTTACCTCTGTTGATAACTGTTCTAAAAGTTCAAGGGGAGTTGACAACAGGAGAAGAATAAATGTGCCCGAGAGCTTTGTATAAATTCCCATACCTAAGTATAAAGTAAAGAGAAGAAAATGTCATTTATGAAGTTTGGTAAGATCTATAAAAAGTATGCAAACCCTTAAAAAAAGCTCTGGGCAATTCCTGAAGATTCCATAGAACACTATTCGGGACCGGCAGAGGAATGTTACCTTTGTTCCTACAGACAGAGGAAAATCTGGTACTATCTTGGGGTTTAAATAGTCCATACATTATTAGTGTCAGCTGTCATCAAGATGGATACCCCAGCGTCCTAATGAATGGTGTGTGCACATAATGACATCATGCGCACACGCACGGCAGTTGGCAAGTCTGTTCTTCCATAGGAAGGCTACAATGGGCATGATTCACGTCGTGTGCGATGTGCAAATGCCGTGTGTGTGCGCGATGGACTGCCGACATTGAGGACACTACCAATGTGGATGTACGCCCTGAAGGGAAAAGAAGGTTCTTGTGGTGCACCTTGTTGGCCCTCTCCCTTCTTCCTGGGTAGGCTATTTGTTCCCCCAGTGTGGACATGGGGGAACGTCCAACTCTCTGTTTCCCTTCTTTGTCCTTCCTGCACACTTCAATGTGCGAGGCAATGGGGACATTAAATTTTTTGGAGGTTGTCACCCAGGTGTGCTCTGCACCCCCATAGTGACACCACTGTATATGACTGTGTTAGGAGCACCAAGCAGAAAGATCTTTTGAGATCAGGGATAAGGAAAATGACCGATGTACTTTGTAAAGTACTGCATAATGGGGTTGATTTACTAAAGACAAATAGACATGGGCAGCACAGTGGCTAAATGGTAAGCACTTCTGCCTAGCAGTACTAGGGTCGTTGATTCGAACCCCAGCTACGGCACCACCTTGCATGTTCTCTCTGTGCTTGTGCGGGTTTCCTCCAGATACTCTGGTTTCCTCCCACACTGCAAAGACATGCAGGTAGGTTAATTGGCTCCTGTCTTAAT